AAAAAAAAAAAAAAAAAACAAGTATGTGTTCGCCCTCATGGCCATGCTAGTCAAATTTCGTATATTCGAGGTCGTCGAAATGGGGTTCATGATAGAGGGTCACACACATACAGACATAGATGCGAAGTTCAGCGTGTTTGCAAAAAAGTTGAGCGGTTGCGATGCGTATACCATGGATGAGCTCTTCGATGTCCTCAAAGCGTCCTGCGAAGAGGAAGTCGATTGCACATTGCTCACTGAAATTGTTGACTGGAAAACCGCCATAGATCCATACATCGACTATAAAATCAAGGGTCATGCCACGCCACACCTCTTCTGATTTTACATGGATGGGGATACCCCCACCATGATGTACAGAGAGTTCTGCAATGACAAAAAGTGGGAGCCGGACACTGGCCCTGTGTATTGGTTTGTAAGGGACACAAACAACGGGTGGGCAGGGCCTCAATGGGTTTTCCAACCTTGCCGTGAGTCGCCTAATCCACTGGCAGGCGATTTCGTTAACGGGATGGTGGGTGTACGTGTTCTTCATAAATCGTGGAAGAATACACAAAATCAATGGGTCACACAAGACGAACACACAAGAGCAATGAAACGTAGATGCTTGAGCTATTGGACCGACCATCTCAAGAAGTTTGAACACATATCGCAAGAGGAGAGCGGCACGGTGCCCCTTCAAGGTGCCTTCTGGCCAGCCCCCATGCTTGATAAACAAGATCTCCCATTACGTGCGCCGCATGTTCTCGACTCGCCACCGAGGAAACCTTGCTTCGTCGGTTACAAAAAAGATGATCCCAAGCCGGAGTTCAAACCGCACGAGTTTGTCGCCGTGAACAACTTCATCGTGTTCCGCGCGCCCGACGAGTATGTTGCAAAGGAATGCACATTCTGGATTGGACGAGTTCAGGAGCGGGACGATAATCGCATTCGTGTCAAGTACTGGACTCCTTGCGGAAGGGAGCGCGATTTGACAAAGCTGTATGCAGGCGCATGGGAAAAATCATGGAAGGTCGAAACTGACACAAACGACGGGTGACAAGACCTCGACGCCGTTGTGTGGGCATGCTCCAGCAATAAACGTTTTGAAACGGGTATGCGGATCCCGAAATGAGAAGCTCTGAATGCACAGTTGTCGTTGGCTGTCCCTGACAAGACGCCTTCATCAACGCACGATATGGGATCTACTTCAGACACATCTGTGTAATCGTGACGTGTGACATGCGTAACAAAGATCATCTTTTGAACACAAACATATTAGTTCACATCGTTAATTGCTCCATTGGATTGCGTTTTTCTCCTTCATTCATTGTGTTTAGAATGTTTGCATCGTCGGACCGGAAGCGCAACAAGAAATGGGGGACACCCGTGCGCTGGCAGGAGCTCATCTCATGGAAAACAAGAACGCAAATGAGAGTTGTCGGTATAGACTGCATCGACTGGTGCGCATCTTGACCCTCGATTGAGCTGTGGCACGACGAGATGCGAGATGAAGTTTACAAGCTCGCCAAGACGATAGTGCCAGATGCGAACTTTGGAAGCCACAACTTCGGCAAATGGACCGAAGTGTTCTACGGATTGGGGTTTGTTCACATGTGGGGCAGGGGGGGTGAGCACCATGGATCAGTAACGTGCGTGGCGTTCTGTTCAGACGATGGTCTGAAACGGTGCGCAACACGGATTGAACGAACGAAGGTGCCGTCGACGTTCGAAAACAACAACCACAGGAGGGCGACGTTGAAGCTTGTCAGACGTCTATTCAACGAAATCAAAGATGCAATGTTGCGTGTCATCAACGAAAGGTCGAGGATCGCCATTCAAGTGGCGACGACCGTGATAATATGCCGCAACAAAGACGGTAAAACGAAAAAACTTTAAAAAACTAACACCGTCACAAAGTTCAATATCGTCGATCATATTCATCGGCGCGAAAGTGGCAAACGGAACAACCTGCAATCTGTCTTGCGTGCTTATCCGCATTGACCGACGTTCATCTGTGCTTTTGATGTATGGTTTTTTTTTTTTTTTTCTTTTTATCTTTTTTTTTATTGGTCCGTGCTGTATGGACTCGGAATGGATGCAGAGGCAGTTAAAACAAGATTGGTGGGGAACGTCAATCAAATGGGGGGAACTGATATCAAACCGGTTGAGGAGACAACGTAACGCCATCGGACTTGTCACTTGGGATTTTGCATATTACGAACCGTCACTGCACTTGTATCCTCTAAGCGCGAGAAGAAAGATTTACAACCTCGTGGGGGTGTGCGACCGTCGGAATAATAATAATTACAAGAAGGACGACAACGCAAGATACAAGGAGGTATTCTATGGTTACGGCCTTGTGGTTGCCCCGATGACAGAGAAATGCAGCGCCACCATTGCATGTGTTGTTGTTCAATACCACGAAGGGCTTACAATATGTGCAAGAAGACATGGAGACAAAAGATCTCGTGGAGTGATGCAGGAGACTCGATGGTGCGAGCGTACAAGCAGCACGTTAAACAATATTGTATTCACGCACGGGATGCAATGTTAGAATTCGTTGCTCGGAGGACTGCCATCACTGCTTCTATCTCAACAGTCATCGTAGAGAACGAAGAAATAACGGGGGTCAACCGCAAATTCAAAAAAATCAAGTTAACCACCAACTTCAACATTGCGAAGAGTGTACTCCGTCGAGCCAACGGTCTGAGCAACGACCTTGTTCACTTGCGCCGCTGTAGCACTTCCGGACTTTTTGTTGTAAAAAAGTTTTAGCTTAGCATTGTTGACAGAGATGGCATTAGAGTAGATCATGCGCTCGTACGAGTGCTCATATCGTTTTTTTTCGTCATATGCCGGATTTTAGGGTTTTTTTTTTTCAAAATTATGTCGAAGTGGATTTCCAACTTTTGCACGATCATGTACGACTGCACATCAGCAGTAGTGTGGAAGAGTGTATGAACTCTACGGCACCAACTTTCATAGACATTGTCTTAGTCAAAGATAGATAGATAGATAGAGAGAGAGAGAGAGACATGGGGTCTCTATGTACATATATTTCCGCGTACATGTATGATATGTCGCATGAGCCAAAATCCGCATCAATGTTTCTTTGTATTTATCTACAGAAGTCAATTTTTTTTTACATGAACTTCGAAAAGATTCAAAAAACGTTGTTCGTAATTCTTGGGTGGCACGAAAAGTCTCAAACATTTATAGATGTCCATGAAGTTTTTTTGTCATTGACTGAACCTGCCGTATGTGTTTTTGAGTATGATATTCAATGCATTTGTCAATAAAAAAACAAAAAATAACGGATACTATATTACGAAACATAGTAAATGCTAATCGATATGATAGAAAAGTACAATAGAAACCCATAATGAAGACCCCTATAGCTTCACATAATGCGAATGAAACTGTAGCACCCCCCAAAATGTGTGAGAAAGCAATGYAWAASTTGTGGTAAACATGAGCACAAACTATAAACAATGCGGGGTACGTACTCAAAATAGTGTGCTCAAAACGCAAAAAATCACCAAAATCAGCATGAAAAGGACAATTTCAATTTCGTTCAAAAAATATAAAATGTCCGTTTTTATGAAATCGTCGTTCTTAGGTACAGGTAGATCCGTCTTGTCCGTACTTGACAGCCAAAAAACTAAAAATGCATGAACTATCATCAGTGCGCTTCAGGGTAAGCGCTATCGGATAACATTTATGGAAAAGGTCCAGAATACGAGTCCTTCTTGATTTCTTGACAGCAAGTGTGATCAGCACATCATCGACGAGTCTGGTACCATGAACCAAGCATGAGTCTACTCCGATGCTCCTCACGAAATGGTACTCGGAGTATGCACATAGGATACAAACCAAATATGGGTTTGTAGTTTTACCCATGGGAATGTCGACAACTTGCTGTAGCAAAACACTCGTTGCAAAGGTATATGTATGCTACAACTCAAGTTGGATGAAATCCCTCATTTTTGTGAAGTCCAAAGATCGCCAATGGTCCGCACCAGTGGTTTTACCAAACGATGCCCCCTTCCCTCGAGTATTCACTCTGACCCACTGTCGCCCCTTCGATCTATGGAAATCCAGCAGCCAATCCACTGCTGACAAAATCTCAGTATGCGGGAGTCTGCTAAACATCTCTTTAATATTAAATGAGGCAGTATATACCTCGTCACCCGCGTCCTGCTTTAAAATCTTCTGGTTGATATCCTTCAGCCTTCCGGCGAGCCCCGAAACCGATGTCAAGTTGAAATGTCATCCTTTGGACAGAGTCTTCAATAGATGATTCAAACCCTTTGAAACAACTCTTCCTATCTGCACCATGGGTTCACTGAAGGTAGGACAGATAGGTTTGTATCTGTCAACATCCTTATGCTTCGGTATTACATAAGCAGAGCCGAAGCAGGCATACTTATCCCATCGAGCAAACTTCACTAGATCCCGTCACGTCACATCCTCCCTGATCTCCCGTAACACCTCCGCAGCCGGAGTATTGATGATCCTATAGCCAAAGTTCCTAACGAAAGTAGTCATCATGGCCTCAAAGTACAAGTACGGGCATAGCATAAGCGTCTCGCCTGGATTGCGATCTAGTGGGGTCAGCACCAGCCCTTGAAGCTTCCATTTCAATTATGTGACGTGTGCAGAAGACAACTGACCATTATCGGTCGTACTACCACCAATGCACATGCACAGTTCCTCACGTGGTATATGTGGCAGATCCCCTTTCCAGTTCCTCCACGTATTGAAGTCTCCCATCAATTCTTCATGAAGCAATCCAATTCGATCCTCCCTCATAACACGAGGGACATTCTTTGCGTTATGTAACGGGGGGTGAAACCCTTCGACTTCACTAAGTCGGAAACGGATGTGTCCTCCCGATCTTGGGAATGGCAAATTTGCACAGCTGCAGACTAGCACATCGCGAGATGCGAATACTCGATGATTGTGCATAATATCCGAGACAACAGGGTTTTTAACCCAGACAATCCGGACCTTCTTCCGTGTCCTATTTAGAAAGCATCGGGGTAGGTCCCCGCTCATTAGTGCATCGTTGACCACCTTCCTTACCTCTGATAATCTGATTCTATCATCAAACTTGAGACGAAACACAGGGTCAACACTCATACTAAAATCAAATCGATCGAGAAAAGTTTTGGAGACTAACCGGCGTAGATACTTCCTAGTCGACTTCCGACTAAAATCTTTGATGGCATTATATAATTGGAGTAGCGATCTGAGGTTCCATCCAAACATGTCCTGTATTTTTCCAGGGTTTGGAAGGATACCCATAAAAAATAACTTCAGGTAGCGACACTTCGACTTCCACTTACACCAGTGCACGATCGTGACCACTCCTCTCCGCAACATCTATTTAGCGTGTTTCAAGGTCACCTGCTTACCTTCACATGGAATCTTTATGTCGCCAAAGGCTCGCCTAATCCTCTTCCATCCACCCTGCCATATATTACCGCCGTGAATGGTAATACTGTTCTTGGCATACCCATCGGAAAGCACATCGTTCAGTAACTGATAAAAATCCAGACGCCATGACTCGCAGCTTGATCGACTAAATCTCACCACAGTGACCACACTACAATCAGTTCTGCTACCGCATACGTGCTTCACCTTTGCGAGTTCCCTCCTCCCGAGCTTAGCCTTCTTCTTCATCCCAAAATTTCGAGCCCCAGTTGTGTTCAAGAAAGGTGACCACTGCCTAATATACAGACTTTCAAGCTTAACCAAATCACCGCCCTCGATATGATCGATGGGTAGCAACAAATAGTTGCCTATCCCAAACGAGAGCATCCATCGGTGAAAATGTGAGGGAACTATGGATTTACACACTCGACAGTGCACATTTATTCGTCTTATCGACATAGAAAGACTTGCAGTAGGGTGAGATACCTACATACACGACATTCGTAAGTCGTAGGAACCCAATACCATATTTCTCATACAATCACTCCCATGCCGGGACATCTCACCTTCCAAAGAGAGACGGAGAACAATAAGCCGTAACACCTCCTCAATAAGCCCATCAACGCCAGTCGACTCCCTCCGTAGGTCGGTGAACAACGTACACAATTTCCACAACTTCGGTATCTCCCAGGCACATGAGTTCTTCTGTTCGTCTTCTTGCACCTGCCCAGTCTCACTGTCGCCCACATCGATGATCTTATTCATCTGGATATTATCTAGTCGATACTTCTGCCTAGTTCGACTATCCGCGATCGCGAAGATCACTCCCACCTTCCCATCATACAACACGCCTTCTTCCTTATACAGGCGTTGCAACTCAGTTGCATCGCAGTCTTTCAGTTCTTCCATGACTATGTTCTGCAACGCGCCTTTAGTGGAAGGTGTGAGCAGTTGCGCTGACGACTTCATCGGAGTACACTTCCTCTCTTCACTGATCAGGGGTTCTTCACCATCGCCTTAGACCTTGTCAGTCTTCCAGAGCGCAAGACCGGCTTCAACGCCTCTCGTTTGGGGGTACGTTTCAGTCTGAGAGGCGTCTCCATAGGAGGGCTACTCTCGAAGACTAGTTCACAACCTCTCTTTCGTTTTTCCGAGATGCACAGTCGTTCGGTCTTTGTACTCAACTCCTGTGTGACGCTAGTGTCACTGTCTTCGTCAACATGGTCATCCGATGATTCACTACCCGTCTGGTAGGTCACCTTTTTCTTGTTGAGTCGGACCAATTCCCTCAAAGGCCCAATCACACTCTCCACTCTCCATGCAACGTTATCTTCCAACTCGCTTAATCGACTAGCGAGCTGGATGTCATTGTCCTTCTTCATTTCCGCTCGCCTCTCGGCTTCCAATTCCCTCTCCCTACGATGTTTTTTCTTCCAACTTCTTCGCTTTCCGATCCGCTCATTCCTTCTCCTCATCTTCGCGTTCTTCGACCTCCTTCTTTTCCTGTCTTTTTCTTTCCTTCTCCAACTTCTTCAGTCGGGCTTCGTCAAGAAGTCCTTCATTGCAGCCACAGACTTACCGAGTTCCGCCACAGTCCCCTGAATTCCGCCAGCATCTCTCGGTGGTGACTCATACCTTCGTCTGTAGTCGGGACGCCTTGGAGAGCGGCTCCCTCTTGATTCGGTAGAAGTAAACGGTCTATCCAACCGATATCTCCGTCGGTTCCTGTGCGGACACTGGTTACTGTAGTGCCTGGGTTCATGACAATTTAAGGAAGTCGGCGTTCTGTACCTCCTTCGATCATTTTCATGCCTATCATCTAGCAGCCTTGTATCGGACCGCCTGTCATCAGCACGACAGTTATCTCCCCTTGGTTGGTCTTCCTCCCTTCGTTCGCTCCCCAACATCTTCCCGGTCGGGTAGTCACTAGCGTGTACGTCGATTCAACAAGAAGAGTCCAATATGCCACGGCGCAGCGGAGTACATAAGCATGCGACCTCTAAGTAACCTCAATCCTCGGTCTTCATACTCTTCAATCGAACAACATGAATTCTTTGGTCTTCCCGAATCTTCGACACCAACAGCAAGCAGCCGTAGTCAACATAGTACCAAGAACAGTACTACAAGTGCACCAAGAGCAAACACGGTCACTCCGCCCGGCAAACTCGACATCGAGGCAAGTTATCGTGCGCGGTCCGCAGGTATGGAAAATCACACTTCATGTACAAACACGAGCAAGTAGGCGTAAACACCTAAAGTGCAAGAAGAAACAGTTACAAATATCTCGTTGAAAGAATTACTACACGAGAAACGACGTCCTTGACGCGTTTCGGCAGCAGCCACGCCGTCGTCTTCAAGAGGAGCATCCCCGGTAAGTAGGTCCCGGCGTCGAAGGCTCCATCTATAGGTGGGGAGCTACACCTGCTGGAAATCGGGTCCAGCGTCCCTATACATGCATGATCTGAAAGTATCGGCTGGAAACGGGTCCAGCGCCCCTATAGAGATCCACGAAAACCCTAACATGTATGTGTAATATTTGTGTGATATGTGTGATATGTGTGATGATTTGTGATCTTGTGAGTTTCAATGTCTAAACACAAAACCCTAACTATAATGTGCTGTGATGTGAATGGTCCTTATCAATCAAAACAATATGAGAGATATGATATGTATGTAAGCGGGGGCATTGATTACTTCCCCACGCAAGGGAAGGATTGACCACCCGCAATGTATATCCTAACCAGTCTCCCTCAGCACTCCATTGTTGATTGGTATTGCGGGCCGGACAACACCAATCAACATCAATTGGCAACACAATCAACAACGATCATCCCACTCCTATCCTCAACCAGACGACGAGGTTAAAAGGGGGAAGGGAGGGGGAGATGGCAAACCTCTTATCCACATCAATCCCAATCCCCTCCACTTCAGCATGAAGCATCACACCCGTCATGCTAAGGCTTTCAGCCCCCCTGCTGCGGTGGTCATCGCTAAGTCCGTCGTCAACACTGTAGCGGACCCACCGGATGTGGTGCTCCGCTAGTGACAGAGATGGAGATGGAGGAAGAAGGAGGGAGCAAGGTGCACAGCGCAGCTCCCCATGCAAGACTCCAACGCACGTACTCCAAAATGTGCAAGTAAAGAATGAGCGTGAAAACAGACAATGGCTGGGGTATACCCCAGCGGACTGACGGGACTGGACTGGACTGGCTGGTATCGACAGAGGTACCGGCCTGGACTGGCCTACCCCGAATACAACACAGGCCTGTGAGAACAGGCCAAGGGGCTGGTCTCACAGGCCAACCCGAGGTCCGCTACACGATCCTCGGCCTGTGATGGATCGCCTAGATACAAACATGCTTCCGCCAAGGGAACTCTACCAAAGAAAAGAAAACCTGAGTAGTCTAGGATGCGGAGCAAGCTCCATGCTGAGTCCATGTGATGCAACCTAGGATATAAAATGTCACAAAACAACATTGTCACAGCTAACAGCCTAAGTGAAAGCAGAAGCAACTAACTAGCATACATGTCCTAGGAAAGCAAAAGCAACTAACTAGCATACATGTCCTAGGAAAGTAGAAAGTAGTGACAACTAGATCCTAGAATGTTGGAGGCACTAGCCTCAGTCTGGTAACAACTGACTAGTGAATAAGTCCTAAGAACATCAAAAGCAGAACAACTAAATCCTAGAGATGTCAGAGGCATTAGCCTCAGTCTGCGAGCAACAAAGCAACAAGTCTATCATATGTCACATGAGAAGTGTGTCGCAAACCAAAGGGTGGGATGGTCTCTAAGGGTGGCGAATGCAGCCTAGGGGTCGAAAACTCCTAAGGGCATCCACACATAGATAACAGGGAGACACATGTCATCAGGCTCAATGAGGGTAGGGAACTGAGAGCGAACATAACCAATGACCCTAACAGATAGACCATCAGGGCGGGTAATGCTCGACTAAGGG